AGGCCAACAAACATAACTTTTTCGCAAAAGCATCCGCTATGAGTCGCAGGTTTAATTCCTCTTAAAATTACCTTTAGGATATGTGGATCAATTGTTTAATCTGTTTAATTAAGCCTTAAAAGATTAGCAAAAGCTATTTAAACACAAAAATCCCAATTTATTTGTCGGCCTCTACATGGCAAGCATTCTTTGAGAGTCTAACACTTGCTGTACAATTTTAGTTAGTTTTTATTCCATTCCAGTTTGGTAAATGTTAAAACAAAATTATATATATCTACAAATTATAATGCATTTTTTACTCTAAATTATAGGTAAATCCCAGGGGCACCCAACGAGGATATAGTTCAAAACCACTTAACATAGCATTGTTGAACGTATTTTAGTATTCAAACGGTAGATATAGGCATATTTTTATCCCCTAAGAACTTTTCATCTGTTCGGATTTCCTAGCTGAAAGTCTAGTGATCCGAAAATTATAGGGATAAAAACTTACCTTCTCGAAAATTTTAGCCAGGAAAAGGCTCTCGAAAATTCTAGGTGGCCTTTTTTAGGGTCAAAATCCGTTAAAAATGGGTAATTATACCATTTTGTAGATGTTCGAAAATCCTAGGTGAGGCAGGCAAGCAAGAAATTTTACAACAAATGCTCCGAAAATTCTAGATCTCAAATCGTCTTCCGAACAGATATTTTCCCGAAAATTGCCGTTGGCTGCCCCTGAAATCCTTTTTAATCACACCCTTACAGTTACTTTATTATCTCTCGGCCTAGGCTGAATTGGAGCCCGCTCCTCTGATCACTTAGTCGTCTTTCTCCGTCGGGCTAGTAAACGACCATGCAGAGGAGACAGTACAGTTGAAATTCAGGCTTATCTGTCCCCACGTATGTACCGCCTAGCATCTGTTCAATTATATCAATTCGTTCTCTCAACGGACACATCACTTACACGGAAACCCAGAGTTGGTCCTTGCAGTTGTTCAGTCATTTTCTTTGAATCTCTTTTTAAGGCGGATACCTCTCTAAAACGTACACCTATGTTGATCCTAATTGTTCTTCACTCGTATTCTTTGACTCTCGAGACGGAAATTTCCCTCAAACAAACATCTTCACTTATTTCCAGTCCGGAATTGTCTATCCAAGAAAGGGCTGACTGTATTTTTCTTTCTTGCGTTGCAAATTCGTCCCGAAAGCCTCTCGACCCTACTAGAAATTGTCCCTTATATTGACACATTGAAACCGGACAAAGCGAGGCAGGCACGGGACCTTCGCCAATGCCCATTTAATGTAGCTGTCGGCTAGATACGGAATTGTTGAACAAGAATATGCATGTCAAAATATACTTGTGTCCAGACTATCCGGCATTTGCTCAGATCTCCTACGGTAAATAAATAACCAAAAACAGTGGCTAATACGGTTCTATTGCGCAAACAAAATCTTTTATCTCTGACACTTTGTCAGCCAAATTAAACGCGGTATTTCCGTTAACACAAAGGGACTGTTTCATTGATTTAATTAAAAGTAAGAAAATTAACATTCCACTTGCGATCTAGTTCGTCTTCTGACAACAGAAAGTCTTAAAGTGATCCGTAAAGTGTCACTATCAGTTAACTAGAGAATGGCAAAGTTTGCAAGGGCCTACGGCCTCTTTGTTGTTTTTGAGCGGGAGAATCAATTACTAAATTGGAATTAAGGGTGCCCCCACGCCGATTAAACAGGCAGAAGTTTGTTGAGCTCCTGTGAAAAGTGCTTTGGCTCGCTTAAAAGCCACTTAACACTCTCAAAGCAGTAACAATGTTGTAATAAAAACTGGGGCATCTGAAAGATGAACTAAGGTACAAACAAGAACTTAAAAACAAGGTAAGCATGTAAATAACAAAGGACATGTGGCGACTCGGTGTCGTACTTTCCAGGACACCGAATTAGTTTAGGGAAGGTTATTTAGGTGAAACTGATATTAAATAATTTTCCTAAAAAAATGATTTGTCTTTTTTAACATCGACAACCCGGTTAATTCGTACCTTGTCGGATTAATCACGGGACCTGTAGTTATGGAAAACTCCATGTACTTGACAAATTACTTACTCACAATCAGGGCTCTAGATATTAGCAATGACTGCACATTAATTATAAATATATAGATTGGAAGGGATTTTTAATTTGTGTTTTCTTCAGGAAACAAGGTATGAAAGTTAGAAAGGGGGTAAAAAGTGAAAAAGTTTAATCTCACTTCCTCGAATCATTTATAAACAAGTATAAAAACAACAAGATGTAAATAGCACCTCTAATAAACCTAAAGTGTGTCCATTTCAGGTCAATCCTTGGCAGTACAGAATTAATGATTCTCACATTTTACTCCTCATAAAAGTTAACGAGTTATCGTCATTTAGATTTGTTCTGAGAGAGGTAAAAATTTATGCAGTGCTGTCTTGTAAGTATATAAATAATACAAACTGACAAGTTTTTTGCAATGGTTGTGTATTTATTGTGACGTTTTCTAATGCTTCGCCTTGCCAACATTTCCCGGCCTGTTATGCAGTGCCATAAAATATCTGCTTAGTTCGAGTTTCATCTTAACAAAGCAAAATGCTTCTAGCAGTTTGCACCGGCAGTTTGACATGTACATGCAAGAGGCGGATTAAGATCTTTAAGTAAGTTGGGGACCCGCTCATCGTGTCGCTAAGATAATAGGGGGGAATGGGGCGGAAGGGTTGTCGTGAGCAGCTTTGAAAATAGATAGATAGATAGTTTATTGAGTTTTAAACCTTGCAGTACTAGACTGAATTATGTTAAAACTAGATAATGTAATGAATCGATATAATAGGCACTACATAGTAAACAAGAGGTAAGAAGATAACACATGTAAAACTATGGTTAAATTTCGACCAGCTATTGTCCTCTTTACAATGACTATAATTGAAACAATTCTTTATTCTGTTCGCTTTACATGAAAGCATTCGAAACTTATCATGAGCACTCCAGAGACATTCAGCACACGTCACAGTTTAGCAGGGGTAGACAACGACGTATGGCTTTTAGAACATGTGATCTTGATTGCTAATTATGTAGGCGAACAACTAAGCTGATAATTAGCTATGAGCACTTCGGCGAAAAAAATTTGTTTTTTGGTCCTATGGACCTCAGTTTGGCCTAAAGGTGGGGCCGGTGTCCCCTCGCCTAAATCCACCACTGCGAGCAAAGATAAGAAATACAGAAAGCAAATGATGATGAGGACCACGGATGATCTTGGAGTGCAGTTTAAGAGAAACTCCAAGTTCTTTAAAAAGTGGAGCAAACGGTTCTTCCCAGTTACGAAATCACTTTTGAACTAAATCAAAAACGTTCCTTGCCTTGTAAAGTAGACTTCACCTCCGAATCTTTTCCATCTTATTGTGTGGCTCGGTTGGTTTCCAAGAAAGCGGTGGCACTGCGTCGATGGATAGGTAATATTAAACGTAAACTGACAATTTACTGTCTGAATTAAAAAATCAAAATCCCACTACGAGTAAACTAGTACTCGATGCAAACGAAAACGTAAGCGTAAGCTGTGGTATCACCAAGAAATGGAAAATTCTGTGTTTCTTGCGTTGGCGCAGCTCTTATGAACAGCTCTGCGGAGGGTGGATGTTTGGCATGGCTGCGAAAGCTAAACCAAAGTCAAACTAGATATCGAAGGGGTGTATATAGGGTAAGGGCCCCTCGTCGCTTTATAATTTGACCTTAGTCGGAGCTTTTGCGCGTTTATTAGAAAACTTCACTTCTGTCCAATTATATTGAAAAACACCCCAAACCGCAAGCTACGAAAGCTTCAACTTAAGTATGCGATTTAAGGTTTTTTCTTTAAGGTGAGCCCGAAGAAAGTGGTAACCTTTGCTAAAAGTCTTCTGAAAGAGTAAGCATCAAACTCACTCTAGGCAAAATAAAATTACTGCAATTCATTTCGAAAGGGGAAAGTATCTCTATAAAGGGTTTATAAAAGTGAAGGATGTGTGTTTCACTTCAGAGTAAATTATAACGTCGTGGCTTGACTCTTGCATCCCAGTAACGTACTTTATTATATAGTAGCTTCTTTTTGCAGTAGGTCTTTTAAAATCGTGGCAAATAAACATGTCAATCATATTCTCCCGCAGTCCAACCCACCACTGTTAACAAGGGGTCACGAATTTTAAAGAATACAATATAGGCAAGCATAATGACCAAAAAAAGCAAAAAACGACTTCTCAAAACTTAAATCATGAGAGGGGATTTAACAAGCGATTTGCTTTATTTAGGAAACGTTTGAGATGTCGCATATGTGGATGTGACCACGACCTCTTAAGTGTTATAGTGAAGATGTTTCTTGATTTCTAATTTATTCACGTGATATGGCGTTTCCTAGCAACACCCGTGTACTTCCATTTTTGATTAACCGTTTGTCAGTCATAATTCTCGATTGGCCCAGCCCTCCACAATTAACAAACACTCGCGAAATTTAGAGGTTTTTACAACGACCTTAATCGATCAAAAAGGAATTGATAAAGGATGAATTTGTAAAAATTCTGCCTATTCTAAATCAATGTATTTGCATTCGGATTGAATTTTATTTTACATTTAGTTTGTATCGAATTCCAGTTTGTATTAGAAACTGTGGCACCGTATTAAGTGAATTTATGCAGAAAGGATATAGAAGCTTATGTATCTAATGCAGTTTTAAAAATAACATTGTATTCTTTCTGAACTCACTGTTTTCAGGAAACTTGTGTTTTTTGCAAAAATCACTTAGAAACTTCTTCTATTTTCTTTCACTGGCGACTAATATTACAAGTGCTTTTATTGGTTCTTTTATATTTTTACATTTTTTGCTTTTTAATTTTACCTGGCCGAGTTGTTTGTATAGTAAAATGAATGATTATCTTTTGTTTGGCTTAATAAAGACAGCTTGAATTATCATTGTTATAATAGTGTAAGCAAAAGTGTTCACAAAACATCATGTCGAAGATATGTTTTCTCATCTGCAGTTGTTTTTCAGGACAGTCAAAGAAGAAACGGATTTCAACGAGATTTGTAAAGTAGCGGGTAAGTCTTTGCTTGTCTAGTGATTCTACAATAAGATCTACTTGGTATGGGTATGAAAAACGCTCAAATGCAGAAAGATTGAACTTATTTGGATTCCCTGATTGCCTGCCACAAAGCTGATCTGACGAGACGAACTGGAATACGCTTTCATCTTTTGTAATAACCCTGGTAGCCAGAACACTTTTACCCTTATATTATCTACTACGAAACTGTATGTAGTTGAACTGGCAACTTTATCGAAAAACTAAGAGGAGATTGGAATTAATCGAGATGAGAGAATTCGATTCTTAGGTAACACTATTGTTCCAATTTGTAATCTCTCTTTGTGTCTGTCGAGTTCCTTCCAAATGATTTCGCACACACTATTTCTTGCCAAACTTGCAGAAGACTCGCAACGTCAAACATGCAGGGTGATGGAACGAGTTAAAGGAGAACTGAGAAAAGTTCGTATATTTCTTTTTCATTTCTGAAGACTAGTTTTCCTTTGTAATGGTCGCTCCCGAGAGAGATGTCTTTCCTTGTGTATTGGTTTTATTCCGGACACAAAATTGTTTAATAGATTATTTCAGGAAATCTGAAGCAGCGCGCGTCGTTTTTAAACGACGCTCGCATGGTTAATTGTCAAAAAAGTGTTATAACTGTAATTTGATTCTGAAAGGAAGTGTAAGGTGAGTTTTCATTTGCGAAGCCTTTGTTGTTTCTAATAAATTATACGTTTAACTTGGATATTAACTCATTTCATTTCAGAGCACAGTTCCACAAATCAAACAAAGGGTTTAATGCGACAATTTAATGACAGCGAATAGCGAAAAAGATTCTAAATGATTTTTTCTTGGATGTGTTTCAAAATCATTGTTTTGCCAAAAGCCATACAACTACACTGGTCATTGTTTCTACTCTGTTTACACCTTGCTATAAATTTTTATTGAAATTAAAATGAGAAAAGATAAGAAAAATACTTTGAATTTGACAAGAACAATAATTATGTATAACATTCTAAAGTGTATCAACATCACTTGAAGGAAAAGGATCACACCTTTTAAAAATGTCAAATCAGGAAGCTTGCACTAACAAAATAACTTAAAATGATTTATTGAAACAATGAAGAGTTATTGACTTTAAAAAGAACCTAAAGCTAACACTTACAAGCAGAAATTCACAGAAATCTCGATTTGGTGCTCCTAAAAACAATAATTATAGTGATAAAAGTGACCACCAGTAGCCAAAACAGCTTACGTAAACGCACTTCTCCAAAACAAGCAATTTTCAATAAAATTAGAAGTTTTTTAACGATCCGGTTTGGATTAAAAACAAGTAAATATTTTTTGAATCAAGAATTATAATTTCTAAGTTTTAGCTGTAAGAAACGCATTCATTTAATCTCCTGCAGTGACTGTCGCTCATTTAATTTTGAATATTCGAGGTCAAAAAATTGTGAAAATACATTTTTTTTGCAAACAAGGGAAAGAGGGTCAAACTGCAATGAAAAAAACATGAACGTAAGTTACTTGACCGCTTTATTTTATTCATTTCGACTTAAATGGCCTTTCTCAGTTGCGTTTAGTAGACTGAGGTAACAGGATCAACTGCTTGCTAAATCATCCCCTTAATTTTAAAAGCTATTAGCTAACACCGATTTAGTCGATATGATTTAGTGGAAATATTAAAATTGAAATGCTCTTATGATAAACAAGACTATTAATCCAGGCATTACTCTCACTGAAATTTCTATTTTTTTTTTCCAAAAGCAGTTCAAGGTTTTATATGATTGAGGTTTATGTCCGCTTGTATAATTTTTGCATTGGGGTGAAAACTGTATGTAAATGTGTATTATTCAAAGCGAAGATTTTCAGCACATGTCGACACTCTGAAGAAGTTCAGTCACTAAATTTGAATCAGAAATAGGTTATTAAGAAATTCACTGAATTGAAAAGGCTTTCTCTGTTGCTGTTCACTCGCACCGAGAAGCAAACGGGTTTATGATGTGCGCTTGGATCTGCTATTATGTTTGTAACGCCGCTTTTGTTCAATTTTATTAACAGATTGTAAAGAGACAGTTTGAGAGAAGAGAAGAAAATTAAAATATGCCTCATCTCAAAGTTAACGTGAATGGTAAACGGTACACGATTTCTGGTATAAATCGAGGTACATGTAGCAAGCAGATTTTGTGTGCCCTGGCAAAAGTGGACGCAGAATTGCAGACAAGCAAAACACTCCAGGAGAAATACTATTCCAGTGATTCCGTAAGTGACGATCAAAGAGGTAGAGTTAGGCACAGTCACGGGTCGAAAAAAACGTCGAAGAGGGAAGAAAAATGTACAACTTGCATGAAACTTGCAAGGACGACAAAGGGTGGAGAGAAAAGAGGGAATCCGCGAAAAGCGCGCTCAGTTAAAAGAACGATCGAGCTAGACAATAAAGGAATTCAAACTTCTAACGGAATGCTTGAGACATTAGGAAAAACAGCTGAATGTAAAAAGAACTGTTTACCTACACAACACAAGAGAGATGGTTTAAAAGCTCAAGTCCTTGAAGCAGGATCACAGACACTCAAGGAGCTCAACAGAAATGATGTTGAAGCTAATACGTTAATGGATGAAAATAAACAGACAAAATGTGTTGATGATCAATCTAAAGATACTGACCATGATACTGGGATAAGTGAGCTTCATTCAGACAGCTCTTTTGAAACAACCCAAGTTTTACACTATAACGAAAAGGCCAATGACAAAATGCCACTAAATCACGAGAACAGGACTGGAGTTAAATGTGCGTCTACGAACACAGATCCAGTGGAGCCAGCGAATAGTCCGCACTCGAGCATGCTTGGACGAGAACAACATTCTTCTGTTGACGATTTTATTGTCGCTCAGTTGCTTGGTAGCGAAACTGACGTTGAAAATGACGAAGAATGTTCGTGCAAGTGTATCTATGTAGATTCAGACTCCGAGGAGTTGCAAGACGAGATTGGAAAGATACGCGATGAATTAAAATTAACAGAAGCAAAGCTAGCCGATCAGAATAAAATGATCGAGTCGCTGAATGCCCTGATAAAGGCCGATCAGCGCAACTCGAAAGAAGAGTTTAATGAGGATATATTTAGAGGTGACGTCGATGATGATAACTCAAAACGCATCGATGAACTCAAGCAGTCGATCAAATTAAGCATTCAGTTGTATGATTATCAGAAATTAGAAACACAAGCTAATGCACTGGAACTTGAACGAGTTGAGTCACAAATACGGAGGAAACGATGGCACGTGGAATCTTTGCTTAAAGAGCTTCGCAGTGTAAAGAAAAACTCACTAACTAAGAGTGGACTAGAGAAACCTTTTTACCATAGGAACGAGGGGACTTTAGTTTGAAAAAGAATCCTTTTTAAAGGAAAAAAACTACTACAACAACTAACATCTAGTGTAGATTTGGTTGCGGTTTGAAATTTTCTGGGGGGAATTCGTACTGAACTGCGTCATTAAAACTATGAATGTAGTTGTAATTTTTAACCGCTCACTAAATAACTCGCCTGATTCCTGTTTTGTTGACCACCGGACAACAGCTTCACCTAAATATGCACAAATTCATGCATGCAACTCATGTTAACTATACTAGCACGTAAAGTGTAATGTTTTCTACGAGTTGAGAATAGATTCTGTTTGACATCTCTTACATATACCATGAGAATTATATAAACCAATTATATCATAATTTGAATTTAAAAGATATGGGTATAGTTAGTCATGTCCATGTAGAAGGTACCTGCAACCTAGATGGTATCCGGGGAGGGCAAGTCGAACAGCAGGAGGGGCAATTTTAATTCGCATGTTGACCGAACATCGTTGAATAACCTACACTGGTATTCACAAGAATTTGGGACCACCTCGGGGGTTTATTTGTTAACACTGTAGTGTGTGGGCCTTGGCATCTTAGTACTCCATGTCATTGAATAAATATTTTTTTCCTTCTAGGGTCGATTATTAATAAATTCACTGGACTATGATTTAGTGCTTGAAGGCAAGCTAGGCTGATCCGGACAGCTATGGCTGAGTAATTTATTTGCCTAATATTTCGACCGAGTAGACAAAACTAGTCTTCATCAGGGGCTAGAAAAGTTAAGTGTCGGAGAAGAATAAACAGTAACATAAAATTAAAATGTGATTGGTGGAGAAGGACATTAGACGGAAAGTTTAGTATAAAGAGGTTACTATAAAAATATATACAGGGTGGTCGAAGCTCTCCTTGCGACCACTCTCGTAAGCGACCAGCTCCAGTAACGACCACGTTTGTGAAATCCCGTTTGAACTGTGACTTAAATTTTGTAATGAACTCGTAAGTGACCGCTCCCGTAAACTATCGCGACCACCTTTGGGATTAGCTCTCGTAAGCGACCCATAGGGTTCATCAAGTGTTTTGCCTTGTGAAATTATAGTGAATATTAATCCTATTAATATAAATCTAGACATCGGTAGCAGAGAGGCCCTGGTTGGGGGCAGGAAGGGTTCATAGTCCGTATTTTCATATTGAGCAACTTTCATTGTATAATCACAAGACTTTATTAGAACCAATCAAAATAGTCCACGCTAGTAAGTCTCAGGGGATTGCCCAACCTAGCACGTTTCGTATTAGATGTATAGCTATTTGAGTTCATTTGAACCTACGCTTTACTAGCAACAGCAATTATAGCATATTTAAATAGCTTGTATTTTCGCTTTGATCATGTCACAAGAATCACCTTCGGAGAAAAGAGTTTCCAAATGTTCAGGCTGCGGAACCCCTCTTACTGACCACGCATGGGGAATTCCGAGCAAGTACTGCGAAGGCGAGGAGCTCAGTTCTCCGAAACACAAAAAATCCGCCACAATCGCTAGTCCGGACGAAGACGAGCAGATCAGAGATCTGGAGAGGGAGCTGGCAGAATTAGACCTTGAAGAAGAACGAAGAGAGAAACAGACTCGAATAGCTTTTCTCCAGAAACGGGTGGCCGACAAACGCGCAAAATTGGCTGCCGGCGACGTGACGACCGGCCGGCCGGAACACGAGTTGCCTCATGGCCCATCCAACGTGAAAGAACTCCGTACACTCCTTCCCAAGGACGCCTTACCAACGCCATTGGATGGTCTCCTCAATATAAATCCCAGCTCGAGCAGTGCTGCAGACCAAACCCAATCTTTATGGAGCATGCAAGGCCAGCTGCAAGGTGATTTCCATACTGTTCCTGCAGGCTCCCAACCGGCCCCGATTCTTTCAAATTCCTGGCTGGAATCACGAGCGTCGGAGATGTTTCTGAGGCCAGCGCAACCCCAAACCGGTGAGAAAGCCTTAAGGATTGTAGACTTTGTTGACAATATTGTCCCTAAAGATGAGGAGCGAACAATAGCAGATGGTGGAAACACCAAACTAGTTGTATCCTATGGGCCTAAAAAGCCCCGTTTAGAACAAATCACCATGTCCCAGTGGGTGATTAGCAATACCAGAATTTTTTATAACTTGTTAGCAAGTAGGAAACTAAACTCGCGAGCCGAGATCCAGAATTATTTAGCATATACTATTAAGGTGATGGAACTCTCCAACCGGTACCATCGGGCCTCGGTCCTTAAGTATGACGATGAATTTCGCCTCTTACAGGCAGCATATCATTATCCGTGGAGTTTTGATTCGAATCACCTCCACACAGTTATTTTAGAGCCCATTTATAAACCCTCCCATGTTCCTAGGTCACCTAACCGCACCGCTAACCCCAGCACTCAGTTCATCCCGGGATTCATAGCCACCACTAACGATGGGTGCACTATCTGTCGTAACTTTAATAGTTCAAGGGGTTGTAGTTTGCAAAATTGTGCGTACGAACATGTGTGCAATCGCCGCGCTTCGGGCGGTAAAGCTTGCGGCCTCAACCATCCGGGCTACATCCACTCTACTCAGCAAAGTACTTCGACGCAACAGCAAAATAAACCGGCTCCGCAAAATTGACTACCGCACATTAATTCCCCGCTAAACGCACAAACTTGGCAATGCGAACTCGCGGGCGACGAGGACGAAACTTTTTTGGCAGATGGCATTATTAACGGCTTCCAAATGGCAAATATCAATACGCAATTTACCGATGTCAACATGCGCAATTATAAATCGGCTACTAACCCCGCTATCCGCCCGCTGGTGGAAAAAACCATTCGGGACGAAATTCAGCAAGGCAATTATGTTATTTCTGCTACTAAACCTACGGTGGTTAGCGCTTTAGGAGCTATTCCAAAACCGAATTCCACCGACGTGCGTCTCATTCATGACTGTTCGCGACCGCATGGCCACGCGGTTAATGATTTTATCAGCACTCGTTCCTTCAAATTTCAAACGTTAGATGACGCGATTAAACTTCTAAAACCCAATTATTTTATGGCCAAAATCGATCTCAAACATGCTTACCGGTCAGTGCCTATTCACCCTGCAAATTATCAGGCGACTGGTTGCAAGTGGCGTTTTTCGGGAGACGACTTCGACACTTATTTTTACGACACTCGTCTTCCATTTGGTGCTAAAAGTTCCCCAGAAATCTTCCATCGCTTGACACAGGCTGTACGGCGTATGATGGCTAAGAGAGGATTTCCGCATGTCATCGTGTACCTTGACGATTTTCTTGTTATCGGTGCCACGCAGGCGGAATGCGCTCGCGCGTACGAAGTGTTACTACAGTTGCTCACGGATTTGGGTTTCACCATCAGCCAGCACAAACTCGTGCCGCCAACACGCCAGCTAACGTTTCTAGGCGTCGAACTCGACACAGTTGCTTGCACTATGACGCTCCCACAAGAAAAACTCCGCGAATGTCAAGCTCTTGTATCTAGCTTCATGCATAAACGCCGCGCTACCAAAAACCAACTGCAGCGGCTGGCGGGCAAACTAAATTGGGCGTGCAGAGTAGTTTACGGCGGACGCACTTTTCTCCGCAGAGTGCTTACTACCATGAATTCCCTTTCACCAGGGGCTAAGCATCGTTTAGGACCTTCCTTTTACTGCGACATTTCCTGGTGGGAAAAATTTCTGCGGGTATTCAACGGAAAGCAGTTTTTCTTAGAGGACCGACCCACAGTCGATGTTATGACTGATTCGTGCTCTCTCGCGGCGGGAGGCTATTTTCGGGGTGATTGGTTCTATTTTCACTTTTCCCTCGACAACCCAGCATGGTCCCAGCTACATATTAACCACAAAGAAACCCTAGCTATTGTTCTAGCTGCCAAGCGCTGGGGACACGTGTGGGCAAATCATCGCGTAATTATTTATAGTGACAATCAGGCCGCCGTCCAGATTATCAACAAGGGCACCACAGGCAACGAAGTGATCATGCAGGAGTTACGTGACCTCTTCTGGCTTTCTGCTATGTACAATTTTCACATTACCGCTCTTTATCTCGAAGGGTTTCGTAACACCACTGCGGACGCTATATCTCGGCTTCACGAGCGGGGTCACCTCCTCGTTTTTTATTCCTTCCTGCAAGCGCGTTTTGCGCCCGGGGTTGTTGACAACACGGTCTTGACGGATCATATGTCCCCTTCTCGGATACTGCGTGTCCCTGTGTGGATTAATGAGTTCTAACGGAATGGGATCTATGTCCTTAGTGCTAGCTTTCATTGGGAAATATCCGCCGGAGCAGTTTGATTGGACTGCTTGGTTCTATTTAAAAAATGAGTTTCTCGCTGCTCTTCCGTCGATTGGCTTTTCCCTCTCAGTTAACTGGAGTGGCTCCTCCAACTTCGCTCTGTGGACACCACAATTTCTTGGATTGCTTTGGATAACTGACCAGTGTCAATTATAATTATCCCCGATAAGAGGAGTAATAAAATTACATCTCGTGTAACTTGACGATGTCGTTGTGGGGATTTCTCCGCGCCATCAGGAATTTGAATTCTAAGAAATTCTTAAGATGAGGACAGTGCTGACAGATGTGTGTGTGTGTGTGTGTGTTCTGTTTTTTTGCCATTAGGTTTTAATACTGGAAATCCTGGAAACAAACTGCTGAGGCAATTATTCATCTCCGTAGATGTGTACGACTCAAGCTAACTCAGAGAGCGTTTGCCCAAAGACAGATGATCAAATAACCACATAACAGCCTCTGTAGAATTGAAGTAGGGTCGTGATTATATTTGCCTTTCAAACAAAAGAGTCGTGAAAATAGTCTGCAGGTATTAGGAAAATTTCTTTGTCTTTTAATTTCAATAACAGACTTAAAAACAAAGAAACACCAAAGACCAATATAAATGTTTACGGCAAAACTTGTGACACAAAAAAAAATTTATAACTAATTTCTGCACACATCATTGGGACTCGGAAAATATTCAGCTTTTAACTTAAAGGCAGACTGAAGTAAACTAAAACAAGACAAGCGATTCAAAATCTACTTCGTCTAATATTTTCAGGTGGGTTTATTTATACCTAATAAACAGATTTAGCCAGGGCTAAAAGCGAAACCATGTTATCTCCTTTAATAAACTTATCGTTTACTCAAACAAAAAAATCGTCTAATGCTAAACAGCGAGGGCGAAGTGAAAGGCAAAAAAAATCAATAGGTCTAATTAGCAAAAAACAACTTTGCAAGTGCAGCACACTTTTTTTGTACCTTTCATAGCGTTGCCGTTGTTTTGCACGACTACAACGTGAAACATCCTAGCTACACGTTTTATGGAGGAAATGTGGTATGTGTTCCTGTTCGCTTTTTTTACACTGCCGCTCATTTTCACCTTGGTTGCCGCTGGTGGTAGTTCTAATTTTCTCACCGGCGCTTTGAAATTCTCATGTTTTTCTTCAAACAAAATTCGTCTCCTTTGTTTTCTATCTCTCGCTCACGTCAGTATAGGCATTAAAATTTAGTTGAAAAAAAGCCGGACTCAGCTTTGTTCAACTTGCTGTTTTTCTTTCTAAAAGTTCGGGTGGCCATGCGATTTACCGCCAAAAAGCGGATTGCTCGAAGTGAGAAATTTCACTCCGGCTTACATATGGGGTGGACGTACGTACGTGCGTACGGACGCTTTCGTCAGAACCCAAATTTCTTGGATGCATAGATAACCCAATTTTCTTACCCATGGTATTCCGCTGGCGCGCGCTTCGCGCGCGAGAAAGCTCCGCTATTAGTATTTATTTAAATTTCCCTTATTATTTAATTTTTTTTATTTCTCTGGTAGTGTCAAAGTTTTATGTTTACTTAGCAGCACAGCGAACTTGTTATAAAAGGGCCGAAAAGCTAACATCAGGTTTTTCATCATAAGTCTTTTACGATATTTAAATTTTATTTTATTTTAGTGAATATGCTATCATGATGTTGAAGACAACTGACTAGTTACCCTTGTGAAACCCCGTAAGTTAGATACTGTAAGGGCGTATTCGATTGACGGTTTTCCGCAGTAAGAACCTAAATTGAACAGACTCTACGAATATTTTGTTTTGGCGGTTAATTAATGCATTGCGCTATTGCAGTATCTCTGCTTGAAATCCCGATGTATGTAGCGTTTAAATGGTACAAAAGTCATAGTAGAGGAGATTTATAACACAACTTTTGCGTATTCCCATTCCGAATGCACCCTAGGTATCATATGGTCTAAAGGGTTCGGGGGAATTTCTTTGAGATGGAAGCGGGCCGGATATAACGAAAGGGACAGGTGACCAGCTATTGGAAGACAAGCTCGTGAAAACGTAACCTGAGATCAGGCCCAATTTGAGCGGTTCTCATAAATTCTCTCTAACGGCTACCGCTGAAATTGGTTCGCCTTGCCCGCCGGAATGTAATTTTCAAAGCGAAACGAAAATAGAGCCTGATTTCAGGTTAGTGAAAACGGGGGCCGGTATGTCATATTAATTTGGGCCATGCTTTGTGTATTGTGTCAAGGCGGAACCGGCTTAACATTTTCACTCCCAGGGTGAATGATGATGGAGTCTCATAAGATGGTTGTAACTTTTGAGTTTTTGGATACAGTTCGTGCAGTTCTTCTTCTCGTAAGCAACATTTTCACTTGGCGCTAATTGTTTTTCAGCATTTTACAAAATGAGCTTTGGCAAATTTGTAGCCTTTTTGACCTCGAGCCTTTCCTGGGAGTTAAAGAGCTTTAATTTAGCAACCACGTAGAGGCCATGAACATTTCAGTGGTTTCATAGTATGACATTACGTTACTAAAGGTAACGAAAAACGGGAAACAAAAAAACACACAGCCTGTTTTGCAACATTGCTGCAAAACGAATTGAAAAGCGAATTTGCACGTTTTACCACCCACATCAAACCTGTCCTGCAACAAATCAGGTGGTCAACAGGTTTTATGTGGGCGGTAAAACGTGCAACATCGCTATTGAACTCGTTTTGCATCAATGTTGCAAGACAGGTTGCACGTTTTTGTCGCCCATCTAACCGAAGCTTAAGGCCTTTCTGAACTTCATGACTGCAAATGTAATCTTAACCTGACTACCAATGTGCCTGATAAAACACTCATCACAACAGACGCTCATGTGCTTTTTGTAAAAACTCTCATTGAATACATGTACTTAGCCAGTTTACCATTCGTCAAAAGGATCATTTTTATGCTTCACGTATCCTCTTTCCGTGATTCAACTGGTCATTTAAAGGTACTGTGTCACGGCTTTCTTATTCATTTTTTTTAATATTGCCAGCCTGCGAGCAAGCTCTCCTATTTGGGCGAGTTAAACGAGTCTTGCGAGACTGGCTTCGCTTGCCCAAATAGGAGAGCTTGCTCGCAGGCTATAATATAATATTGCCAATTAGTCGTCCTTAATTCGCTACGGAACTTAACATTAACGAAGAAATTCACTATTTGTAAACGACAAAATCACAGCTTCTTAACCAACATATACACTTCCAAAGCATCATATCAAACGTTAAAAAACAACAAAAATGAACTTTGAAAAACTGTTAAACTGGCTAACAAGTTTTCAAAAACCAGTATAATATAATAATAAGACGATTAATTAATTAGTAA